TGGCCCAGTCCACCAACCCCTTCGCTTACGGCGCCGTCGCTCAGGTAAGCTACGCTGCTCAGTCAGCCAATTGGTACAGAAGCAAGACCGGCCTAGTGGGGCGGGGCGGGGGCGGCGGCCGTAGCAGCCCGCCCGCCCCTCACGATCGGGCGCGCTTTTCAAATTTGCCCTCGCCGGCCGCCGGCCTCGCCTCGCCCGTGAGTCTGAAAATAGTTGAAAGTCTCGCGATACCTATAGGAAAGTGCCGTGAAAGTGTTAACTGAGTGGTACGGCGTTGGTTGACGTGTGCTGCTCGCAGGCTTCAACGTCAACCACCTGGACATCGCGCCGCGGTATGCGTCCATCCTCATGGGGATGTCCAACGGCATCGGCACCATCGCCGGCCTCATCTGCCCCATCGTCATCGACAACCTGACCAGCGACAGGGTAGGTTTACATCACCGCAGAACTCTTGCAAACGAAATTCTTTGCAATTCTTTCGCAAGGAGACATACGGAGTTCTTTCGGATTTTATTTTGTTTGCACTGCACAGCCAGTGAATATTATTCATAAGGTACAGCTTAAAAATATTTGCAGGCTACAAAAATTATAGTTTACATTTTTTTTTCAAGAATTTTGCCTCGGGTTTTGAAGTTTGAGAGAAAACACTATGCGATCGGAGAAAATCAAATTTATAATCATAGAATGTTTTCCGACGAAATGTGTGAAACAGTAAATTTAATAATTCGTACTCATTTCTGGCTTTCTGGCAAAGTGACTTATTCCGCACGAAAGAAATTGAAATCGAGCCGCCTTTTTTCGTCGAGTTTGACTTCTACGTGACAAATCATTCTCACTACATTATCAGTAACTGGATACTTCAAGGAAGGCATTTCCCTCGAGTAGTTTTAACACTGCTGGGAAGCTGGGTCGCCACCAGGGCGCGCCTGTGGATCTCGGGGTAGGCCAGCCCGCCACGCGGCGGTGCGGCCCTTGTCCCCCGGTCACCTACCTCACAGGGGCTCGCAGGGCCGGGCTGGCCACGCAGTGCGAGTGCAGAGCAACGCAGTGGCGGAGCAGCGCAGTGCAATGCAGAGCAACACAGCACAATGCGCGGCGATATGTCAAAAAAAAAATGTGATGAGGATGAAAACGACATGGCATCATCATCCACATCTCATCGCTGATTGCTCGTTATTTTACGAAAATTCATTAAATAGATGACGAAAAAATTCATGATGAGATTGGTTGTAAAACTAATTACCCGGGAGGTAGAAACTTAACTTTAACTTACGTACCTCTACTTAACTAAAACTTAACTTAAGGTACACAAAAGTTACTTTAAAGTATACACCAACTACTAGAAATTTCGGACAAGGGGTTCAAGTGGTTCAATGTCCACATAAAGTTAACATTTGGACGTTAACTTTAATCAGGTATACAATAAAGTATACATAAAGTTCATTTCTTTCCACCCGGGTAGCCATAAAATTCTCATTTTAATCACATTCTTTTACAGTGCGCATGCAGTGCAACGCAGTGCACACTGTTAAATTTCTACAAAGCATTCGCTTTGCAGAACTGCGAAGTATTTTAATCCTTTGTAACTACGAAGCATTTACTCTGCAAATGACAAAGTGATGCTTTGCAATTGCAAAGCGTCACTTCGTAATTGCAAAGCAACACTTTGTGATTGCAAAGTACATGCTTCAACAGGTAAAACAGAGTTGTAAATTAACACCTTTCCAGGGGCGTTAAGTCAAAAGGCGTTCACGTTTTAGTTTTCCCAAATATTTTCTGATGAAGCAAACCAAGGTTTGTAGAGCTTATATTTTCGTATTCAGCCCAAAATTCCGCTTCGATCAAGCCTACATGTGATAGGGTTCAAATCCCAAATGAAAGAAATTTAGTAGATTCCTGAGGGTCAGTTATTTCTTTTACCGTTCTTCAGACATGTAGGCTCGTTCGAAGCGGAATTTTGGGCTGAGTGCGAAAATATTAGTCCTACAAACCTCGGTTTGCTTTAGCAGAAAATATTTTGAAAAAAAAAACTAAAACGTTAACGCCTTTAGAACTTTAATGCCTTTAAAAGGTGTGATTTCACACATTTGTTTTTCCAGTGTCGGAGTTGCAAAGGATCTAAATACTTCGCAGGAATCTAACAGTGCAATGCCGAGTAAACCACTGCGACACAGAGCAACGCAGTGCATCGCGCGGACGCAGCTCTCTCTACCACTGTCCCATTTTGTTTCCCCGCTAGAAATCGGAGAGCTGGACTCCCGTGTTCATCTCGGCCGCGTGCGTCCACTTCTGCGGCGTCATCTTCTACGGGATCTTCGCGAGCGGGGAGCTGCAGCCGTGGGCCGAGCCGCCCCCGGAGGAGGCGGGGATGGGGGCGGAGGCGCTGCCCGGTCCCGGAGCCCCGGGAGGAAAGTGGGACCCCATGGAGGGCAGCGCGCCGCCCCCGCGACCCGCCGTGCCGCCACCGCCCTACTCGGTAAGAGACATACGAAACAAACAAATTAGTTCTTTCTCATTAAAAAGTGGTTGAACAAGCTAGTCATTTTTTTTTTCAAGTCATTTAACCTGTCTTTTACAATACTTCTGTAGTTTCATGCACGCTATAGATTTTCTAATTAAAGAAACATGATATAATGCGATAAAATGGGAATGTAATTAAATGAGGTTAATATCACGCTCGAATTAGGAAACAAACTGACGCTTTTGAACCAAGTAGAAATTATGGTGGCGGAGAAACCAGGCACTACACAAGAAGTTCGCTTTCGAGTTAATAAGCCAGTTTCGCGGTATCAACGAGAAGCAGGTGGGGTGGGAGTGTAGTTCCCTCCCTATTTGCATGCGCGCTTGGGCTCTCCCTCCCTCTCCTTGTCTCGGTGCGACGGGCCGCCGCCCCCCGCCTCGAGTGCGAGAGAGACGACGAGAGCCCAATCGATAGGGGGCCGAGCTTGGAGGCGGGTCTAGGGCGGGGCCTGGGGGCGGGGCGGGGCCGAGCCGGAGCAATGGTGGAGTTGCGCCCTACCGTGGCCCACCGGCCCGCCGGCGGGTCCGCCCGAGAGGGAGGCAAGGCCCTCGTAACTCTGCGATTCTATTTCCTGACTCTTTTTTTTTTTCATCGCAACCCGATATGCAAATCATGACTGCAAAAAGGGATAAAAAGGGGGGTGAGAGAATCTTATTATTCGCAGCGTTTGCCTTTTTCTTGCTCAGTAGTGGTAGCGGGGGTAAAAAAAAAAGAAGGAACAGCTACAGAGAGAACGATCCTGGTGCGGGAGGGAAATGGTTTAACTTGCTAAATTGAAAGTACAAAGACTGGTCCCCCCTTTTTGCAGCAGGCCGTCGCCGCGCCGGACGCCACACAGCCCTTGGCCCAGTCCACCAACCCCTTCGCTTACGGCGCCGTCGCTCAGGTAAGCTACGCTGCTCAGTCAGCCAATTGGTACAGAAGCAAGACCGGCCTAACTGACCTCCTTACCCCTGCAGGGCGGGTCCACCAACCCCTTCAGCTCCTCGGCACTTAACGCGGCCTGGGACACGGCCCCGGCTCAGGACGCGTACATGTCTGCGCCGCAGCCGGTCCAGCCCGAGGCCACCGACTCATATATGCACGGCTCTGTCCACGACAGGGCGTACTGAACGCACAGTCGCACTCCCTTATCAAGTTTCATTTAATTTCATCAAATTCTTATTTTTCTCGTTGTACGGTTTCGTGCCGACGTTAAGGTTAGTTTATGTGTGTTTGCGGGCGATTAAGTTTTGTTAGGTATTGGGTAAACGTAGAAGAAAAGAAAGTAACTATTTTTATGTTGCCTTTCAGCCTAAATAAGTAGATGTTGAAGCGAAAAGATATCAGTAGACATGATTTAATCACTATACGTATCTTCCGAAAGAAATATTGAATAGCAGTTTTTTGAAACATGATTGGCTTATCATTGAACTCAAAACGCTAAGTCACCCAAACAAGAACAATACAATTCAAAATAAAATAAGCATCTACTTGTTAAAAATGTGCAAAAACGTAAAAGTTTAAAGTGACAAAGCCTTTTGAGGTAAAACTAAGCTTCCAAATTTTATACAATTCAGCATCAAATATCATAACTAACCTGCAGGTAATGGTTATGATTTTGGCAGTAAAAGTTATTCATGTTTCATTGATGGTTTCCGTAGATGCAGTGTTATAAAATTATTACATACTGTATATTTGTAAGAGTGATGTATATGTTCGTGTTCATGGTTATGTAGATTCCCTATGGAATGCGCCCGGAGCGTATCCAATGTTAAACTTATTAATTCAAATGTTCTTCTATGACCTAAGTCAATTTGTTGTGTGTTGGGCCATGGGTTGTGTTCTTAGAGCACGCACTACGGCCGAGAAAATGTTCTCTCTGATGTACATAAAAATGCTAAAACTTCTTTCTCTCTTCCTTAATAGTAATGATACTCTTCGCGCTACAAGTCAATTTTGAGACGTTCGGCCTTTTTGATCGCTATTACTAAAATTGCAGTAGAGTAGTACATACTTGAGCAATAGTGGCAAAAAAAGTCACTGGTTATCACGTGGCAAAATCAATGTTCTTTTAAACCATGCGATCTGAACTTCTTTTCTGAACTTTGAATGACTTATAGATTTAGTGAGATGGCGAAATGTACTTATTTTGTTTAATTATATTTAAATAAAAATGGCGTTAAAGCCTTATTCATTTCCCGGCCCAATAATCGAACTTCAGGAGCCGGAACCAGATGAAAACCTTTGGAATGAAGAGTATTTTATGTTCAAAGCAATTTTTAAATGAAGACGAAAGTCTTCATCAGGCTGTGTTGACAATAACTAATTTTAGGCTTTAGCTCGTAAGCGAACGTATGATTGAAAGGGCACACTATCGGCAACTAACGCGCCATAGTACGACTCTCTAGAATGCTTGTGTGCATATTGCGTGAACTTCTAGCAGTGTTCTGAAATATTTCGACGTCAACGTGGAAAATATCTACTGAAAAGGGAATCCACTAGATTTAAATCAGAACTCAGCATGTGTGAATCGGGTAAAAATGTATCATATTAAAAACACCGTTTTCAAATCGGTGGTGTAAGCAGCCAAAGTTTTCCAGAGACGAAGCAAACGTAGACTGGATGAATACTATTTTCTCCTTCACATGTCATATCTTCGTTCACCCTGTTCTTTGGCACAATTTTGACTGCAACCATTAAAAACGGAGGAAGAATAAATTTAAAGGGTTGTGTGGTCGTTATTTAAAGATGATAAAAGGGGGAAAGTTTTGGAAAAGTAATAAAATAAGGCGTTGATATGATCAATGCCATTGTTAGTTCACACAACGTAACGACTGAGATACCTAAATCCCCCAGAGTAGTTTCCTCGGGTAAATCTCCTATTTTTGAATTTTTACTTAGATGGTTAGTTTTTGCCTTTGCACTGCATAGTTGCTTTCTGGTAAGCACTTAATTACTTGCTTTTGAAATGGACAAATATCACAAAAAGCACGCGAATTTTTGCACATTTGGCACTCTTTCTAGCACCTCTGCACGCTGTTTTGCACGCCCAATTAGAACACACTTGCACTTTACTACTTTGCACGCACAAGTTACTGCACTCCACATTTGCACGCACAAGTTTTAGCACGCGCCACATTTGCACGCAATATAAGGGGGTTGGCCACAATCACTGTGGCCTACCTCCCACACTTTTTGGTATATATTAGTTTGTCACATTTTGCACTGATTCGCACGTTGCACAAAACCTCGCACATTTTAAAATTTAGCACGTTGCACCTGCACTTTAAAAAGTAGTCGGTAGAGGCATCTTCGTTTCTTTTTTTGATAATTATTTTTCGCCAGCTACTTTTAACTTTCTTTCCTTATGTTTTTGCACATTTCCTGCTTTTGCAACTGCACTTGAGCACCTTGCATAAAGACATGCACGCAGGATAAACAGATCTCATTTTGTCTGATGAAATACGACGCACCCAAAAGGTTTTGACGAAGGAATATTTGGTAGTATGTAAAAATATGTAGCAAATTGTTGAAAGTGGTATACGTGTAAGAGGTAAATGTGTATGGGATTGAGGGCGCAAAAGATAATCTACAATACATAGCAGGTGAAGTCATTGGACAAATGTAATATACTGATGGAGCCCTCGTTATAATTGCTTCTGTTGTGAGGTTTGAGCAACAATAATTTAATCGTTACTCGTAATCGTTTCATTGTTCGTTAGTTCGTATTGGTACCTGTGAGTGGAAATATCACGAAGGATGCTGCTACCACGATGTTCGTGAATATTTCACAAACAGTTGTTTTATTGTTTTGTTCTCGAAGACTAATTGCGTCTCGAATGGAATCTGTAATTTCCTGTACTCCATACTGGGGAAATTAAGGGAATTAATATGTGAACGTAGAATTTGAAATAACAGCTAAACCTTAGCTAAAAATTAAAGCACCGGTTATGCAAATTATTCAAAAATAAGTGTTATAAGTCATAATAAATAACCCGATTTCACATATTCACAGTCTTTCGATTTCAGATTTATTGTTAGAATGAAAATGTACCGACTAAATAAGATGTAAGGCACTAATTTATGGCAATACAGGAGGTGTGCTACTAGTTCATATTTATTGGCGTTATAAAAGTCACTACTGAGAAGATAACTACTCTGTTGAGTTTGTGACTCAGCACGTTTTTCTGTAAACTGTGGGAAACCATAAACAAATAATTTCCTTCTACTGTGTAAACAACTTTCTTTAGTTACATGTTACTGTCGTCGTAAGTATATCCTTGTAACTAATTTTTCTGAAATCTCAAGGATTAGATACACAGTATCCAGAGATGTCGAAAGCAATAATTGCCCTAATGTAAATCGATAATGATGTACTTGATTGTTGTAAAAGGATGCTTCAAGGCGATACTTCACTTTGCGGATGTGCGTCTTAACACCACAGTCGCATTATGTAAAACGACAGCATAAGTGAAATCAATAAAGATAATTATCTTCGCGGGTTGATGACGTTGTCTGCATTCACTATCCTCACATAAGACCACGTGCACAGACATGAGAACACGAGCACGAATAAACGAGCGCATAGGTCCGCAGTATAACGAGAGGATGGGAACGAATCACAAATTTTCGGGCAGATTCCGCGTCGTAGCGGCGCGCGTCAGGTGGAGGGAGGGGGGCGTGGCGGGCG